CAAGAAAGAAAATTTGGGTCTTTGTGTGCAAGATTGATGACAATTTTTATTTTAGAATATATTGAATGAACCACAAGCTCATAGCAAAGAGTTCCCATTTCACACATACTCTCTCTCTCTCTCTCTCTCTCTATATATATATATAACACATACAAAGAAAAATAAAGGAACTATAGAGGACCCCCAAGTTACCACGCATAACTAATAGATTTTAATACCATAATTTGTTAATCAATAACATCATACCAAGTTTTAACACACCATCGGACCATGGTCATGGGCAACTCCCTCTCTATTTTTCTAAAAAAAGGGACTAAATCTTTGAAAATTTTCATCATTAAAGAATAATTAGGTGTTTGTAAAATTTATTAAAGGGCGTATCTAATACACGAAACTCCTGCATATGTGGGGTCTGGGGAAGGGTTGATGTACGCAGTCTTCTCCCCGCAAGCGAAGAGGTTGTTTCTGCAACTCGAACCCGTGACCTCCACCATAAGCCATTCCTCTCTAATTAATTTTAATTTGTCAATTGCAACAAGTATTAATGGTTCATTTCCTTTGATGACTAGGCTAAGGAATATTATTAATTGATAAGATTTTGAAAATTAGAAAGTGGTAAGTTATTGAATGAAGTAATCAAAGAAATGGATGAGTGAGTTGTTCACAGAAAGAGATTTTGAGAGAGATCTTTTTATAGAGTTGTGGATTTAAACTGGTATGCTAGAAGCCAACACTGGTGCCATGATCTACGCCATATGGCATGCTAATTTTTAAAGTTATTATTATTATTATTATTTTGTAGGACATGTTGGGGACACTTAATGGACACTCATGTCTTTGGCCAAGTTTGTTATCCCGCATCAGTGGTGGGATTGGACTGATAGTGAGGTTGGAACTTGGAAAGCATGTTTGGTTGAGGAAATTTGTGAGTGGATTATTTGTCTAGCCGAATTGGCAATCCCATTGCACAGATGGATTAACAATGCTGGGGAGGGTATGGGATTGGTAATCCCAAGTCCAGCCTATTATTTGTTAAAAAAAAAAAATTATATTTGTTTTAGAATTTTTTTTAATATAGAAATATATATTTTTTATTTTATATAAAAATAATTTAACAATCCCATCACTAACCATCTCTCTCACTATCATCAAAACAAACATATTTTTACTTAATCCTCTCACTAACAATCTCCACATTAACAACCTCATCCAACTTAATCTGCCAAACAAACGTGGCCTTAGTGTTTGGGAATGCCTCAGGACACCTTTGTAGTTATTTTATTTTATTCATAAAAATAATAATATTGGAAAGCTTGGTTGGAGTTAAGTAAAATATATGGGAATAAAATAAAATACATCCACGTGTCGATGCCTCACATGTATTTATGTTTTGTAAATTATATTCATATACATAGTAAATACAATACATCAACATTATAGTTTTTTACCATGTCTTTATTGTGTCAATGTTGTAAATTTTTGAGAATCATTGGGTGTGTTTGGTTTGATTTTGGGAGATAAAAAAAAAAAAAACAACGCCCACTTAGTACACATTAATGTGTGTTTGGGAGGGTAAAGATTGAGTCCACACCTAACCTTTGGCATAATACACAAAGTGGTGGTCCCAAGACTTGAACCCATAACCTCAAGGTTATTAGGCCAAGTCTTAACCATTGATTTTGGGAGATAAATTTTCAAAAAAAATCTTGGAGAAAGAGTTTAGAAATTTTTTTGGTTTGTTTGGTTGTATATTTTGGAAATAGTTTTGGAGTATGAGAGTTTGAGATGATTTGATAGTTTATTGTAGTTGAGTAGATGTGTGTGAGAGAAAAAGTGATTGAGAACGAGAGAGGAGAGAGAAAAAGTGATTGATTGATGCGTTAGAGAAAGAAAGTGATTTTGGAAAAAAATTTCAAAAAATTTCTAACCAAACAAAATTTTGGAATTTTTTTTCAAAAATTGTGTTTTGAGAGTTAAACCAAACAAGGCCATTGTCTCCGTGTCCTTGTCTGTGCTTCTTAGTTGGTATGTGATGGGAGGGCGCTTGGGGAATTGGATGTTGATAACTTGTGGATTCAAGTGGGTTAACTTCATTTAAGTTATGTTAACTAAGTTTTTGTTGTGTTTTGTTACATGAACGAGGAAAAAAGTACAACTTAATATTTTGAAGATACAATTTTGTGGAAGGATAAAATAGTATAAGTATAATTTTCGTCAATGTTGGTTAACAGACTAACTCTGACAGTGAAGGTTACTGTAATTTCATAAACCATAGGGAATGCCTTTGCAATTTTCAAAAACCTAAGGGGAGGTTCAAGTATTTATCCAAATGAAATTTCTTTTGGTAGAAGGTTCAGGTAAAGGGCATTAAATGAACAAGAATTTCAATAATAAAATAGTGTACTCCATTACTACCAATTTTTTTAAAAAAACAAGATAATAAGATGCCTAGTATAGATTTCGTGTCATTATCAATATTCTCCCATAGAGCAAATTATGCATGAGATTTGGCTCTTGTAGAAGAAGCTCTACTATGCTTTTGATGGACAATTTAAAAGTCAAAAGTATTGCCACTCTCCGACAAAAACTGAACATGCTTTGGGCACTTGGGGGACATATGGTTCCATTGCTTAGACATATATGAAACATATCACAAATTTGAAGAAAATACACTAGGAGCCAATTATTAAAATTAAAGCAACGTGAATTTGTACTTGTTTATCAAAAAAAATAAAAATAAAATCAAAACAACATGAATTTGTACTTGTTTATATTCCTAATCTTTTAGGTTTTTAAATTTCAGGAACTGTAAAACCTAAAACTATCAATTTGTTTATAAATAAAAGTTTTTAAAATCGATATTATGACTTCGATCACACTTCTTTTCTAATATATAGAATTTGTAAAATAACTTCTTACTATATTGATATAATAAAATTTAAATGATTTATAACGCAAAAAATGAAGAAATTATTATTTGTTTCAGTATATATATAAAAGTATATATTTATTTGTTGTTGTTTCCCTGCTACGGTGTGTTCTTAATTTTTGAAAATTGCTATGTTGGCATGTATTTATTGAGTCGTTTATCGTATTCTTTTTTTGTGTTCATATCCATCCTTCTTAGGCTTCTGTAGCCACCCTTTTGCTGACTATGTGCAAATTACAAACCTAGTGCCTGCCTATTCTTGATCCTCTTTGCATGCCCTGTTAGAAAAGACTTGGTATATACACACTATTTGAAAGGAACCTTCATTTTTGACAAGTAAAAATACAATTATATTAGATGACCTAGGAATGTTACATTTTTTTACAAGTAGAAGTAAATTTAAATTTAACCCCCCCAAAAAAAAAGTAAATTTATATTAGAGAAGTCATCACAGGGGAACCTATACACAGTATAACGAGGAACAAAACAAGTAAATTAGCAATACATCAGATCTTCTCAACAAATTCGATAGAATCTGAAAATTGATTTTGAGATGGGTCAACACCGCTCAAGAACCAATTATTATACAAATATGTAGCTCTGGGTGCCATTTTTTAGTTGAGTGACAGTGAGGCGAGGCTTGGAGGAAGGTCCATGCCTTGTAATGTGGAGTCTGACCCCCGTGGATTATGATGTGGCATGTCACGCAGGACACAATTACCTATGCTTTCAGTCTAAATATGGGATCTTCCTGGCCATCAAAATTCCTTTGGTTACACTCATGCCAATGATCCACATCATAGCTAACGACAGCAAAGACAGTCTTTTTCTCTCTTCCCACACTAGCTCCCCTTTAAGCATGCAACATCTCCAGCACATTCCCATGGAATATCCATGGGATATCCAACATCCCTAGAATCAAAGACCATAGATTTCTAGCCACCGCACAATGAATAAGAATGTGATTGATGTTTTTCCATCTTGCTTACATATATAATGCCAATTCACGTTAATCGGTAGTCTCCTAATGAGATTGTCAATGGTTAGAATCTTATGTGAGCTGCTGGGCAAACTTGGACACCCAAATACCCCTCTACAGAAAAGGAAAAAAAAATGCCTCTATGCCCCACTAAAGAATAATAATAACATTTTTAACTTGAATCTACCTGATTTTGAAACTATATTATTAGTAGAGTTTCTGTAGTGAAATAATAATGAGTAGACCCCAAGGTTTCTGTTTTTATTTTGTGCCAATTCTGCATAATCTTTTCTTATTGGTAATCAGGGATTTGCCTATTGACTCTTTACCACTACATACTTGTGCATACTGTTTCCATTTGTTCCTTAATGTTCTGGAATGTTTTGTTTGTTTTTGTATAAGCAATCTTTAATTTTATAGCTATTTGATTTATATGTAACAGCCAAACATGGAGGTAGCGTTTGGTTTAATTTTAGAATCATGATTTGAGAATGGAGTTATATTTTGGGGTTGTGAGTTGTTGAATCATGATTTGAAAAGAGAAAATTTGTTTGGTTATGAGTTTTGAAAGAGTTTTGAATTTTTGAAATGAGTTTTGAAATAAGAAAAGTTTGGTTATGAGTTTTGAAAACTTTGAAAAAAGTTTTCAAAACTTAATTCAAAAACTTATAACTCATAAATAAACGCACAACTCAAAACTCCATTAAAAATTCTATTCGAAGCTCATAACTAAACTCTTTTAAAAATTCAATTCAAAAAAATAATTATTGAAAAAAATAAATTTTTTATTTAAAAAATTCAAAAAAATTCGAAAATATTTTTTTATTTAAAATATTAAAAAATATATATTATTTTTTGTTAAAAAAAATATTTAGCTAGTTCTTTAAAATTACTTTTGATTGTATATTTAATTGGAATTTTTTTTTAATTATTTTGTTCAAAAATGTTTTTTTTTTAATTTTTTAAAAATTACTGTGACAAATTAATTTTTATTTAAGTTTTTATTTGTTAATTTTAAATAAATAGCCTAATAATTTGTCATTTTAGTCTAAAAAAAATAATTTTTATATTTAAAAATATCAAAAACAAATATAAATTTTTTTTTTCAAAAAACAGGTGGCAATTGCACAAAAAAAAAAAAATACTGTTTTGGTCAACCGGCCGGACGTTCTGGCGGATGACCAGGTAGATCTAAAAATTCAAAAACTATTCAGAAGGATGTCTAGGTAAACGACCGAATAGACCCAAAAATTCAAAAACTCTCTAGTTACCAAACATGTTTTGAAATGTGATTTGGAATCATATTTTGAAAACTATAATCAAACTGAGGGTTGAAATATGAGGGTGGAACCATGATTCTAGAATGGAACCAAACAGACCGGAATTTTTACTTTTACTTTTCTAGAGGATGTGTTCTAAATGCAAGTTAATTACTGGTCAGCATTGCCAAAGATGGGCCAGCCTTTACTTTATCAGTAGTGAGTTGTAGCTTGCATGATCTATTAAGAAACACAAGCGTAAGATTGAATAATGTACATTGTTAAATGATCTGCAGGGCTGCAAACTGCAAACAAAATTAGCCATTTAAGCAACTAGATCTTTTGACAATAAATTTGGTTTCAGCTAAAAAATTAAGCTTGTTTACAAAACACACCAAGCCTGAGCATAAGCTCATCTAGATAAGCTTGTTAACATTGATTGAATTTGAAAGGTATTTATGTATTCTATTGAATTGTTAACATTGATTGAATTTGAAAGGTATTTATGTATTCTATTGAATTGTCTACCTGTCCGTCAACAGTAAACTCCCTTCATTGACTTATGCGTGTATTCTATGAGAATAAATATTAATAGAACTGTAGGAAATAGTAAATAATAAAGTTCACTTATTTTTTCACATGACTTTGCTTCCCACCTTATGAGAACGTTATTGTTTTTCAAAATTTCAAATTTCAAACACCATATAAATGATTGCTTAACAGCTAGATTTAACTTAGTCCTTTGATTGAATTGTGACACGTTTTCAAGCCAAGCCTGCTCGTGATTTGATTTGAGTCTAGGTCAAATAGAAACATTTGTGCTTGAGTTGAGGTCGTGAACTCTCTTTCCTCACCTAAAAAAGCTTGAATGACCAATTTTAAAAAAAAAAAAAAAAAAAAAAAGCTTGAATAACCTGATAATTGGCTCAGCTCGGTTTGTTTTGTTCTGTGCCCTAATGCTGCTCCCATGCTCTAGGCTGAATACTTTTAATTCCTTGAAGAGATGACCCACACTAGACAGATACCTGGGTTAGCTATAGCCTGCTATGTTGGACAAGTAATATTGTTTTTAAATTTATTGATTGTTTTGTTTATAAATTCTTTTAGCATTATCTTTGCTCAGAATCTTTTGTTCTTCCCTTCTCTTTGAGCATCCAAGTACTTTTGTGAGTGCAGGTACCTTTAAGCTTACTCTGCAATTCACAGAAGATTATCCAAACAAACCACCAACAGTACGGTTTGTCTCACGGATGTTCCATCCAAACAGTATGTCACGATCCTATTTATAGATCTTATTGCTTGTCTTGAGTAACATTGTCTTGATCTACAATCATCCATGTTCTGTGCTTTCTGGACTTAAGTGGGTATGTCATTTATCTGACCATGTTTCTGGACTTGTCAGTCTATGCGGATGGGAGTATTTGCTTGGATATCTTACAGAATCAGTGGAGCCCTATATATGATGTTGCGGCTATACTCACTTCTATCCAGGTGTGTCCTCCTGATTTTTACGAAAGAAATTCTCTCTTAATTTTGTTTAATCGTTACATTCTTTTTCGAGGAAAAAAAAGCATGTGGAGTATGGTTAATTTCGTAAAACTCGTCTTCGTGTTTGTGATTTGTTGCTTACCTTGAAACCTCCTTTCACATTTTGGTTTACCTTACAGAATTATGAACTTTTAGTTTACATCTTTATTCAACTAATAAGATCAAGCAAACTAGGAATGATGGATTTTGCTATAATTTTGTATCCATCGAGTACTAAGTTCAAAATTTCAAAATAAAAAAAGGAAAAGGAAAAGGAAAATGTGGAGGTAGCTTTAATCAAGGGTTCATTTTAATTTTCATCCATACTGCCCATTATCAATATTTGTGTGTCACTTGGTCCTTCATGTAGGAAATTTGTTCAAATTACTCTTCTTACAACTGATTTTGAGCAGCACAAAGTTTTTAAATACTTGTCTTGTTTGCTTGAACCTGATTTCATGGAATCAACAGAGAAGACAAGACACTGTTCCAGTTACACAATTTTTTGTTTGTTATTTTTCTTAGTGTCCATTTGGTCAATTTTCAAAGCTTTTGACAAAAGATTTTTGATAAATTTAACTTGTTTCAGTGCCGTACCTTGTTTGCGGTTCAGTCTGGCCATCACATTGGATCCATAATTAGGAGAAGAGCATCTGTCATTGTTTTACCCTAATGAAATTACAATGTAACTAAATTACATATCATCTGCAATCCATTCTCAATAATGTGTGAGAACGATGTCAGAACTGCATTTTCTATATGAGAACCATATTTATCTGGACATGGTAAACCTGTAAAAAATTTCTTTTGCACCTATTAGTGTGACTTGTAGAATGTACTGTTACTATTTTCTGTAAAATCTAAGCTGTATTATGTAGATGTTTTCTGCTACTGTGCCATCTACAAATGTTGTGTGTAAAAATATGATTTTATAAGCTTCAAGAGTAAAGTCGTCATATGCTTGCCTGTTCTGAACTTCGTTTCTGTCTTCTAATTTTTGTGCATGGTTCTATGCATGTTTGCCTCACTGTTGAGGATGAACAGCTTATCAATCTCACAACAATTAAAGTGATGCAATAAGGAAAGTAGAGATATTTTTTTCATTACTTTCAACGCTCTGTTTCCATTCTCTGCTTTACAAAGCTATTTTGGTTCATTTCTTTTTGTATTGAGACTTTGTTTGGTTGAATTTGGCACTGGAGTTGTCAAATTGTCTGTGGAAACACTCAACAAGAGATAAGTCCTCTGATCCTTGCAACAACCTTCTGAAATTAAAACTGAAATGTAGAACCTCTCTGTCAAGATTCTTCAGCTGATTGGCAAACTTTTCAGTTGTCCATCGATCAACATGTTATCTTGGACTGTGTTTACCAACTTTTCAGTTGATTATAAAAATTTGAATCTGTTTTTGTTTTCATAGAATGGCAAACCCATTAATTTCTAGCATGTAGGTTAAAAAGAATTTTGAACTCAGTTTGATCTCTTTATCTCCTTGGTGTCTCTTTTTTTTTTGATTGGCAAAAGAAAGAAATTATTGATGCTAATATCAAGTACAAAAGAGATACATGAAGGGATACATCAATAAAAGAGGGGAGAAGTACAGAAAAGGTTGGCACCTTTGCCAATCACAACTCTCCATGAGTAGCTAGCTAATCTTCTTTCTGTTAGGGTGTAGATGAAACACTAGTCAAGTAACATTTGGATTTTTGTATTGTAGTTTCAGGATTGATTATTCAGCCATTAACAAATTATAGAAGCACAATACATAATGGGGAAGAAACAACCAACCAATCTAAGAAAGAGCCCTATAATGGGGAGAAATTAACAATACAACAAAGAGCCTCACAATGGGGAAGAAATTGTCAATCCGTGCATTTAATAATAATTGACCCCCTGACCTCCTACATAAGTGTACAGGATGGCCACTGTAGTTGGTCTAGATGGCTTAGTTTTCAATGTTTGATTCATTGCAGTGTTTAATTTCTGCAGTCTTCTACCCATTGTTGTAAACTTCTATGGACTTTGGAAGCTTCTACAAATTTGTTCATCTATTAGATCTGCCAAATTGATGATGATTTTCTACCACTCTTTCTTTTAACACTTTCTTGTTTTCATTATATTGGCTAATTCTGGTTTACGTATTTTCTCCAGTCACTGCTTTGTGATCCAAACCCAAATTCCCCTGCAAATTCTGAAGCAGCTCGTATGTTCAGCGAAAACAAGCGAGAGTACAATAGAAGAGTGCGTGAAATTGTGGAGCAGAGCTGGACAGCTGACTAAAACCCAAAAAGAGCACCACCCAATTATATTGTGCCAGAATAGAATAAGTCCTGAAGTAGTGTTGGTGTGGTGGCCTCTTTTGCAGATCTGTGTACTGCTATAATATGCTTTGTGTGAATTGCTTTTAGAGAATTGCTTTCAGATTTGATGTCGGCTGTTAGACAGCCCTGCTCGAACTGTTGATTCATCTTTTATCAAGTTTTATGTATCCAATTTAAGTGTCTTTGTAGCATGTGTATAGGAAGTGTTGTTGTGATGTGTTGGACCATTGGCAGTGGTACTTTGCTTAGGGTGGTTTGAGGAAGAGCTTTTTAGTGTAATGATTTCAACAATTGTATTTGATCATTATGAATTGATGTTTAGGAACTCTCTTTATTTGCTTCTTATAACGTAGATTTGCTTGTTTGTTTAGGGTCCGTTTGGTAACCATTTCGTTTACAATGTTTTGTTTATATTTACAAAAATTTAAAAACATACCCTATAAACTTGTTTGATAAATTTGTGTTTATAAATTGACGGTTTCAGTTTTTAAATTGGCCTAAAAACTGTAAACTCAAAATACTTGTTTCCCTTAGTTCATAAACATAGAACAGAAGTGAAGAAAGGAGGAGCAACAATTGATTCCCAGGTGTGCGGATGCTTTGGCCCAGATTTGATTCTTCTTAGAAGATATTTTCACTTTATTTTTATACACGAGTCTTTCAATGGTAACATTCGCAGAATCTCATCTCTGTGACTATGTTTTTCATTCCATTTGGATTAATTAATTTGGTGGGAAATGAAGAAAAAAGTATTTTTTTGATGTTTGATTTATAAGTAAAGTGCAAAATAACATGAAATGATGAGAAATGCAAGTTTCTTATTTTAACTTTGACTAAAAATAGTGACAAACAACCTAATTGATTGTATAATTTTCATAATACCGAGATTATCTATTAAAACACAAGAAAAAAATAAAGCCCATCTATATTTTTATATCACACACTTTACTTCATTACTCATTCAAACATAATAGTGAGAAACTATTATTTTCTTTCTCTTCCTATCAATTTCCTCTTTTTTCTTTTTTTTCTTTTTAAAAAAAAAAAATTATTTAGATGATAGACTAATCATTTATTTTCCTTTCTCATCTCACAATCCAAATGAAGTGTGAGGGTCCCATGGAACTATTAATTTCATCGTTTGTATGATCTTTATTGTCATTAATAATGAATAATAAAAAATAAATATAAACATTTTAGGCCTTAACAAACATGTTTTTTGGTTTTGATTTTTAAAAAAATTTCAAACATTTTGCTCAAACTAAATGTGTTTGTAGTTGTTTTATGAAAATAAACAAAAATCAGTTTACAAAACTTTATTAAACATTAAAAAAAAAATGTAAATGTTACCAAATGCTATTTTAATTTTTAGGCTCACTTTGATTCATGAATTTGGGGATGAAAATTGATGATGTTAAAAGAAAGTCATTTTTTCTTGTAGACATGGATTTGGTGACGGAAAATGATGATGTTTAAGGAAGTGATTTTTTGTTGTAGAGTTGCACAGCAAAATAAGCAGGTAAAGAAAATATGATAAAAAAAAGGAAGGAAATATGACATGTGCAATTATGGAAACATATTTATGCAAATTATTAATTGAATAAAACTATACGCACTAATTGATATATCAATTAGTATATTTAATAAATGATGTGAAATAATTTTATTTTGAGTTTTTATAATTTGTTAATGAGTGAAATCCATAGTTTTAAAATTATAATATTATAACATGTGTTGGTACACTAATTGATAAAATAATTGATACATGTAGCATCATTGTTATTAATTCAGTTAATAGTTTCAGCATTTCAATACAAACCTAGATAATATAAATCGATCCTCTAAAGAAGGGTCTTTTTAGGATCCCTGATATTAAAATTTTATAGCATAAAGGACTTTTAATATTTTCATAATATTTAAGGTCTCTTAACATTGATCCATAGATATTCTTCCTAGAGAAATTTTATCCAAAGAAATTCTAGATTTCCCAAAGAATTTCTATGGGTTCAAACCCTTGAACATTCAAATTTCTCTGGATCTCTAGATTAACATCAAAAACTCTTGAACCTTTCACAAATTTCTCTGGACTAAAATTCAAATTTCTCTGGACTAACATCAAATTTCTCTGGATCTCTAGACTAACATCAAAAACCCTTAACCTTTCACAAATTTCTCTGAACTAAAATTTAAATTTCTCTGGACTAACATCAAATTTCTCTGGATCTCTAGACTAACATAAAAAACCCTTAACCTTTCACAAATTTCTCTGAACTAAAATTCAAATTTCTCTGGATCTCTGGACTAACATCCCTTAACCTTTCACAAAATTCTCTTTGACTAACATTCAAATTTCTCTAGATCTCTAGACTAACATCAAAAACCCTTGAACCTTTCACAAATTTCTCTGGACTAACATCAAATTTCTCTGGATCAACATTCGAAGCTTTTATCTATCCAAATAAAATTGAACATCATAGAGAAAATTAACTAAACTAGAGAAATTTTAGCACAAATTTCTCATATAAAGTGTTGAAATTTCTCTAGCAAAAACAACCCAAAGGCTAAAAAATATCATTTTTCACATTTCTGAAAATTTCAACATAATCTTAGTAACCGAACAATCAAAAAACCATACCATACCTAATACCCTTTCCAAGTACAGTAAGTTTTCTTCAATATTGTTCCTATTTTTGATGCTTTGAAAAAGTAGATAAGAACGAAGAAATGGTAGCCAATTTCGGGTCATTGAAGCACAGCTTCGCAAAGAGAAGCAAGGAAATGTTGCTTTCTAGAAAAGACTACTCGGAGCTAGGGTTTGGCCAATCTAAGGACCGTAGTGACGTTCGATCACTTCACAATAAGTTGGACAATATTTCGGAGCTTCTCCATCAACTCCTTCCACCACACGTCCATCTCCTCTTTCACTCGGGCGACGCTACTGGAAGAGAACCGCTGGAGATGGAAGTTTTCGGCGAGAAGAGAAAGACGTGGATTGCTCTGTTTCTATGACACCCTAAATGTTTAATTACATATTCCGTAAAAGTAAAATAAAGTATTGAATGTTATGATAAAATGAAATTTAATTAGGGATTATATATATTTAAAAAAAAAAAAATTATTACAGTGGCCTATCACCACCCTAGCATATAGGGTGGTGACTATGCACATGTAGCCTAGGTGAATCACCAAGTAGGGACAATGAGAATAGGCCACCTGTGAGGATAGGTGGCCAAAACAAATCAAATTAAAAAAAAAAAAAAGTCAAAGAAACCATGCCTTATTCTCTTCTATAAATAGGCAGCGTTAGCGCTAAGCTTCCGATAAGAAAGGAATATACTTACGGGTAACAACGAGGCCGTTATAGAAAAGTAAAGACTAAGGGTCAATATTAAGGTGAATTATTTTATATTTTGAGTCACCATAATATATTTTACATATGTTTTGGGTTACCATAAATTATTTTACGCAATCTATATTTTATAAATTATATTAATATTTTGATTACGTTAATTATTTTTTGAATTCTATTTGCTTAAATTGAAACCTATGGATATGTTTGTTTAACTTTTAGAAATTGTTTGACAATGATTTTATAAACAATTATTTTCTGTAAGTACCACCGCGGGAGTTCTATGCCTTGGGGAACTTAAATAATCATTGGCCATTTTGTAGTTCTCTGTTTGTCATTGATCCATTGACCTCTGTTCTGATTGTCATTCCTGTGACTTCTGTTCTGTACCATGGTTATAGTTAATTATTTACATAATTTTTGTATTTCAGTCTCTGCCACCTAAATAATTTGTTTATTCAAATTAAGTAATTTCTGTATTTTGTCTATTCAAATTAAGTTATGTAAATGTTTTAACTTAACTAACTATCCATGGTTATTTCGTGTTCTCTATACTCTTGGCATAATATTTCTCACTCTGTCGTGTGCTTATAGCTGTTATCTTTTCAGGTGATGAGATGTAAGGAAGATCTGTAACCTCGTGTAGTGGAACCCGGGACAAGAATTCGATGCTAATCTATTATTTTGTTTTTCTTTTCTTTTCTTCCCTTTGTTTTTCACTGATAGGCAGTCGCAGAATAATAATAAAAACCCTATAGATGTACTTTTTTTTCAAAAATTTTCTGTTTAATTATTTTCTTATTTTCATTTTGCCTCTGCCTGCACCATTTAATTTATTAAGATTAGAATTAATTAGAAACTTGCGATTCCAGCCCTAAACCCCTGCAGATGAGTTGTGATAGTTTTTGTATCAAACTCTAGATTGAGAAAGAGAGAGGGGTTGTTTGGAGGGAGGAGATAGAGGAGAGAGAATGAGAGAGTTGGTGTTATATATGGGTATGAGTGAGGGATTTTACACTAAAAAAAATTTATTATAAACCTTTCCCATGATCAAAAATTGAAGAGAGATATTAGCCCAATTTTCCCACCTCTAAAACCAGATAACATAGCATAAATCATTGAAGATAGCAAGAAGTTTCTCCAAGTAAAGTCTCAATTCATTGGGTTTGGACATAAATTTGTGAAGCGCTTTATGGAGGGCAAGTTGATTTGAATTTATATTTAATTAATTAATTTATTTTTGTTTCTCATCAAATCATTTCTCAAATTCAAGGTTTAAATACAACAAATAAAATTAAAAAATTTGGATAAAGTCCCCTCACAATAAAAATTTAAGATAAATTTATTAAAAAAATTTATTTCAAGTACCACTATTTTGGATTATTTTATACTTTTTATATATTAAACTTTAAAAATTTATAATTTTTGTTGCACATATTTTTTTTTATGAAACTTATATTTTTAAAACCTAATTAATAAGATCTATAAAAAAAGATCTTACTTAAATATGTAATTTTATAAAATAAAAATAAATAAATAAAATTAATAATGTGAATATTCGTATTTACATTCACAATGTTAAGATCAACATTCAAATTGTCAAAATCTATTTAATAGATCTCGTTAACTGAGTTTCAAAAACTGAAAATGCTCTAAATTTGAAAGTAAAGCCTAATTGTAAACCGAGGTTATATACATCAATTGATATATTAATATATTAACATATCGTACAATGGGGTCTTTTGGGAAGAGATTAAACAGTTGACTTTTAACATTTATCCATTTTGAATCAAATTACCTTTCACATTTTTTATTCACAAAAAGACAAAACAGACTAAAAAAGTCAAAAAAAAAAAAAAAAAAAGAGGCTAACTTTTTACCAATTTTCCAAAACAATCCAATATTATTTCAAAATCATAAATTCACCTATTATATAGATTATATAAAATCACTTCAATCTGTTACCAGTTGGTGCATGTTCCATCATTCATTGGAAACTGATGAATCAGTGATCATATTATGAGTCGAAGGACTCACAGGCAATCGTCCTGAAAGAGAGAGGAAGATGCAAGAAATCTCTACTGCTTGTTTAATTTTGGGACGAAGATTAGCTCATAATTACCGAAAAGGTACCACTCTTCTTCCCTTTCTCAACTTCAAGTTCAATCCATTGTTGTCAGCAGCATCAATTCATACCCAAACTTCAACAAACCCGAACCCTAACCCTAACCCTCCTGATCGGAGGCAATTACAGAAATTATTGTTAGAGAAATCGAAATTGGGTTTTGATAAACTCGATGATGCTCTTAGTTTGTTCCATCGGATGGTCCGAATGCAACCCCTGCCTTATGTTATCCACTTCACTCAGCTGTTAATTGGTATTGCCAAAATGAAGCATTATTCCACCGTTATTTCTCTGTTTCAAAAAATGCGCTTGTCGGGTATTCCGGTTAATGACTATACCCTTAATGTTGTAATTAATTGCCTTTGCCGCTTGAATCGAGTAGATTATGGGCTTTCTGTCTTAAGTAGTTTCTTCAAACTTGGTTATGTACCGGGTGTATATACTTTCGGCACTCTAATGAATGGGTTCATTTTACAAGACAAGACTGCTACGGCCATGGAATTGTTCAATAAATTGATAAAAGAGGGAGAAATCAAACCTAACGAAGTTATGTATGGGACTATAATAAATGGGCTTTGCAGGATGGGAAGTACTACAACTGCTATAGGGCTTCTTAGGAGTTCGCGAAAATGGAACTATAAGCCTACTGTTGTGATGTATAACACACTTATTGACGGTCTTTGCAAGGACAGAAATGTGGATTATGCTTTGAGCCTCTTAGTGGAAATGGCCCAGCAGGATATTATACCAGACTTGATCACTTACAACACTTTGATTCGTGGATTATGTAATTTAGGCCGGTGGGAGGAAGCAACAAGAATGTTGAGAGACATGACAGACAAGAATGTTTTTCCAGATGTTCTTACTTTTACTACACTGATAAAAGCACTTTGCAAGGAAGGCATGGCAAAAGAAGCGGAGGCTATTCTTGAAGTCATGGTCCAAAGAGGTGTTGGTCCCAATGCAGTCACGTACAGTACACTGATGGATGGTTATTTTTTGCAAGGCCAAATGGACAAAGCAATAGAAGTCTTTCATTCCATGGTGGATAAGGGCATTGAGCCGGACATTCTTTGCTATAACATTTTGATCAATGGATATTGCAAGAATATGAAAATTGAGGAGGCCATGAATCTTTTCCGTGAAATGCCTCGTAAAGGATTGAAACCCACAATTCATACTTACACTGCTATGTTGCAGGGATTGTTTGGGGTTGGTAGGTGTTTGACTGCTGAAGGACTTTTGAATGAGATGCAAGCTAATGGTCAGCGTCCAGATTTTTATACTTATTGTGTATTACTGGATGGATTATCCAAGAATGGCCGTATTAATGAAGCATTGTTGCTGTTTCAGGAGCTAGAATGCAGTGCCATAAATCCTGATATTACTATGCACAATATATTAATTAATAGATTTTGCAAAGATCGGAAGCTTAAGATGGCAAAGATTCTATTTGGTAACCTTTCTGCTAAAGGGTTGCAGCCCGATGTTCACACTTTTACTATGATGATTGGTGGATTTTGTGAACAAGGGCTATTGGGTGAGGCAAATGAGTTACTCGTGATGATGGAAGAGATGGGTTGTATGCCTAATCATGCAACTTACAATGTTATGGTCCGTGGATTCCTTAAAGCAAAGGACTACAATGAAGCAAAATTACTTCTGGAGAAAATGACTGAGAGTGGCTTTTCAGCAGATGCATCTACTTTAGCTACAGTCGATCTACTCTCAGCTAAAGGTCAAGATCCTAGTCTCTTTCATATGATTGAAAAGTTGGTGCGAGATGATAGACATGAAATCTGTAACACCAAAGAAATTTGTTAAGCCATCAACAGGCATGCTATCTCTGGCGGTCACATGTTGGATAGTTGTTAGCTCTCTTCAATTTGGTCTTTGAAGCATCATTATGAAAATATATCTTTTGGGGAATTTGGTAGGTAAGTTTTTACTTGATTGTTTTTATCATTCGCAACTTGACACTATAAGGAAGTGAAACAATTGGTTCAAGGCTTTGGATCTTCATCATCTTGTGCTTCCAGTTCCTCCTCGGGTGTGAATGGTTTCTTGTGTAAGTCCTCAAGCTCCTCTTTTGAAGTTGAATTGTGTTGGATGTAGTCGAGGTAATCTGGTTCGGGTAGTGGTGGGGGTATTGTCTAAGATGGTCGTGGCAAATTGGTTTTTGCTTATGCACTGTTGCTTGGGCAGTGTTCCAATACTGTGGCCGAAATGAAGTGTGGGTATTTGGTATATTCACTTAGAAAATATGAAGAAGAAGAACTCCGAAAATATGAGGAAGAATAAATATATTTCTGTTATATTCAAAACTTCTTATCTTATAAGACCAAATGACACTCCTTATATAGGAGATATTACAAACATCATCATAACCCATTATATGCCACTTACATATTATATATTACCACTATCTACCACTATCATATTATATACATGCCACTATCTACCACCAACACCACTATCATATTATATACATGCCACCATCTACCACCAACACCACTATCATATTATATACATGCCACCATCTTATTATATACATTAACACAAATTTCTAGCACTCCCCCTCAAGCTGGTTTGAAGATATCTTCCATAGCCAGCTTGCTAGTCAGCTTATCAAATTGCTTCTTGTGTAGTCCCTTCGTTAGCACATCAGCTAATTGTTCACCTGTTGGAAGGTAGGTCATACAGATTATGCCAGCATTGATTTTCTCCTTGATCATGATGCTACCAATTCTCTGTTTCATTCCTGTCCCTTTGGATAGAATGGTTTTGGCACCTACTGACCAAATAGGATCTGCATCTTCGGGAACAAGTGCAGGAGTTTTTGCTCTCTGCAATGAGACAAAACAGAAAAGGTTTAAGGCGGCAACATCTTGTATGAAAGAGATGCAACTCTAAGCTCCAGAGTGTATACATCCTTAAAAAAACCACAAAGTTTAATGAGTATCAATCTAAGAAGCATAGACACTTCTAAGAACGTAATGTGCCGTGTCCGACACTCATCGAATACCTATGTAGCACTAGTGTGAGTATGGATACTGGTACGAGTACGCTAATACGGCAAAACCTTTCCAAAAAAAAAAGGATATGGGTATGGTTGGGGTACGGTTGTGGTATGTCAATAAATTTTTTATTTTTCATAGTTTATTATTTGAGATTCAATCTACAAATCAAAGTTCAATACCAAAATTAAAACGAAAATTACAAAACCAAAAGAGAATTCCCAGTTCAACAATACCAATATCAAAGCAAAGTCCTATTGCTATTTTAATGCCATTAAATAGGAAAAATTACAAAAACTAAGTTTCATTCCCAAAGCAAACTAGAAAAATTTGGAAAGTTGAAAAATCAATTCTCACTTACATCAACGTCATTATTGAACAATACATCTTTCATCTTTGACACAGCAAGTAAAAGATTTGCAATTTCAAGTAAATCATAAATCTCTAATAAATTAAATGTATCACTATCAATGTCCCATAGCTTGGTGTACCCCCGATGCACCCATCATGTACCTACGAAGTACCCACCTGCTAAAAAATGTATAAAAACTACCCGGTACGTATTTCATGTACCCGATACGCGTGCAACCCTAATGGTACGCGTACCAGTACCCGTTATGAGTATGGCAATATTTTCGGAGTACCCGTGCTTCATAGCTGGACACTTTCCAACACTTATACATGAAACATATTACGAGTTTGAATAAATAACTTGGAATCCAATGATACAACAAAAATTAAGTAAATTTATACCTATTCTCCTCCTTTATACTTCAAAAATGAATATATTTTACTTAAATATTTATATATAAGACATAATAATTATTTATCCTTATATATGACATATATTTGATAAATACATGAATAAATTATATATTTTGCAGAAGTCCTCAACGTGTCGTCTCCTACATTTTTTGAAAATTTACATGTCGGTGTATCGGTGTGTCAATGTCATGTCACATGTTCGTGCTTCTTAGGTATCAATAATGGAGTGAAGGTAATTAAACCCCTCAGCAAAATGCACAAATTCATCCATTCAAGCACCAAAAGGAAGCTTAATTCTAAAAAAAGTTTGTCTATGGTAACTTACAAAAAAGGGGAGCTCCCTAGAGTCACCATCTTCAATTATTTGAGAGATCCACTTGATGATCTGCCAACCAAATAAATATAAACTCAACGTGAAAAGGTACACTAAATAAAAAAGAATGTTGCATTTGCGTTAACTGCTCAATACATAGTGAAATATATCTCAATAATTAAACCATGTAGTAAAATCCATCTCACAACAGATAGAAGGCCAAACCTCTGAACTTTCTTCGGAACCATTGTACCTCGCAACAAGTTGTGATGCAGGATCCACATCGTCATTCAGAAATGCCTCCAACATGTTTTTTGGTTTTTTTTCCTCATTTAATACTATCTTCTGTAGCATTCCTTTTGTGTGTACAATAATTAACTCTGGTATATTTGTTATATCCCTCCTAGGTCCACATGTTTCATAGCTGTTCTCTATTTGAGTGTGGAAAAAACAATATCGTTGGAGAAGAAGAGAAATTTAGTGACTAATACAGTTGCAAAAGATCATTTGTTAAATGTTTCAGCGTAGACTAGTCCATCATGACCATTATTAATTAAAATATTATAATCCATAATAGTAAGCACACATACTTCTACATAAAAAAGAAAAAAAACCTACAAATGGTTCTAGGAATAACAGTGGAGAGATGGAAAGATCATTCCTTCAACTGAATAAAGCAGAAGCAAACAACCTCTAATCATATGTACCATGCAGCTGCAATGACGTCTTACACAATTTATTCTATACATGCCACTATCTACCACCAACACCGCTATCATATTCTATACATGCCACTATCTACCACCAACACCGCTATCATATTCTATACATGCCACTATCTACCACCAACACCGCTATCATATTCTATACATGCCACTATCTACCACCAACACCGCTATCATATTCTATACATGCCACTATCTACCACCAACACCGCTATCATATTCTATACATGCCACTATCTACCACCAACACCGCTATCATATTCTATACATGCCACTATCTACCACCAACACCGCTATCATATTCTATACATGCCACTATCTACCACCAACACCGCTATCATATTCTATACATGCCACTATCTACCACCAACACCGCTATCATATTCTATACATGCCACTATCTACCACCAACACCGCTATCATATTCTATACATGCCACTATCTACCACCAACACCGCTATCATATTCTATACATGCCACTATCTACCACCAACACCGCTATCATATTCTATACATGCCACTATCTACCACCAACACCGCTATCATATTCTATACATGCCACTATCTACCACCAACACCGCTATCATATTCTATACATGCCACTATCTACCACCAACACCGCTATCATATTCTATACATGCCACTATCTACCACCAACACCACTATCATATTCTATACATGCCACTATCTACCACCAACACCACTATCATATTCTATACATACTACTATCTACCACCAACACCACTATCATATTCTATACATGCCACTATCTACCACCAACACCACTATCATATTATATGCATGAACACAATTTCCAACATATTCTATGTTTGAATCAGGATATTTGCTGGTTGCAGATTGAAGTTCTCAAAGGTTTTGGTGCATTTCCTGAATGATATGTATGGTCCCCCTTGGTTCTTGATTTATGATATGGTTGTGATGAAGCAATTGTTATATGGCATACATTGTTTAGTGTCTCTTTGTTTTCAGGAGGCTAATGATAGGTGATGCTCTTGCTAATTGGGTTGTGATCATAAAGACGAGATTTTTCAAAAAATTCTAGTCTTTCTTCTTTAGTTAAAGGTTCAGTAAATTTGGATAGAATAGGGACTGCCTATGTTAGGCTTTCTTGATGTCCCTCTTTATTTTCTGCTATAGTTTCTTTTATGCTCTTTTTCAGAGGTTAGACAACAATGTCAGGGAAGCATTGACGAATTAGCTTAAATAGTTGTCTGGTGTTATGCAAGCAAGCTGTTTGCTAAAATGGTTGGTATCATTTTAAGTAAAAGGGGTTTGGATTGTCCAGCTATAGCTCTATGATTGTGATATTTGGGTTTGCTTTTTTGTTCTTTTTGTTGTGTCTTTTTTCCTTCTATTCTTTCCATTTCTTTTATTTTATTGTAGAAAATGTCTCAATAGGAAATTACCCGAAAGTTTCTTTGTATTTAGATTAAGATGACAAGAAGTTAGTGTGTTGCATTATCTTTCTTTGATAAGGTTGTCTTCTTTGTTTTTTTCCCCCTCATTCGATGTCTGAGAACATGTCTTCACAATATGGACTCCAGAGATTAGTGCTTTTGCTTCTGTTTTTGTTTCTCTCCCGCAGTTTCACTCCTTCTTGTTGGTTGATTGGAAGTGCTGTAGATGAAGGTGTTTATGTCCTCTTTCATGATATTGATTGTGATTTCTGACTCTGTATACTGTTTGAATAAATTTGATTGCTGCCTGTGTAAATATTAAATCAAAATTGAAATTCTGTGGAATAATTCTGCCAACTTATGCAAGGAACAGCGCATTGATGCCTTTGCTAAAAAGACCTCTTTCATTGCTCTTTTCTACAACAGGTTTTGGCTGAAGCAAGTTACAACACTTGGCATGTCAAATAGACTAGGAGTTCCAGCAATTCCCATTCTATACAACTGAATGATACCAATGAAGAAGAAGGCCATACTGGAAAGAATGCGCAAATTCAAACTGCAACACGAGACCTGAAGTTCCTTGGCAGATCAGTGATGAGGAGAGATAGATTGCTAATTGTATTTATATGAATATACTGGGGGTTGGGTTGTTTGTAACTACAATATGACACATGAATGTTCGTGTTCGCATCCAGTCATCAAAGGCAGTTAGTTGTCTAAAACTTTGATACCTCAACATTTGATGTTGGATATGATAACTAGTTTTTGTTTTTGGGATAAGAATTCCATTTTCATAATGTACTGATCACTTATGAAGTTTTCGTGCTAATGCAGGCTAGAGTTCATGGCCTGAGCTCTTTTAAGTGCAGGCAGTGTTGCAGCAACAATTCAGAGGGAGAATGCTTTGGTCACTGTCTGATTGTGTTAGAAGGAATAACTGCACTGATTGTCTGTGCATCTGACTGTACTTTTGGGTAGATAAAGATTGCATTGTTGCAGGGTTGCTGGTGCTTGACTAGTGATTGTTATTGAGCGATGACCAATGATAATTTCCTCTACCGTATTGCCTTTCGTGGTATTTATCATGTACTTCTGGGACCTGAGTATTCACACTCCATTTTTTTTTTCTTTTAGCCTCTCACAAGAGGAGTGTGGCAGCCTAAAAGTGGTGTGTGAATTTAGCATTAATTACTGTGATATTGTCTTTATATGGGATCCCCAAGAATGCAAGAAGTATAGTTCATGTCTCTCTCTATGGTAACACCAATTGGTTTTATACACTCGAGAACATTGTGCTTTTGGACTTCTTTGGCCCTCACTTTTTCTCCAAGATTTTTAATCCTTTCAGACGTAGCATGTGGGTTTAAACTACTTTGGTCAAGATGTGATTGTGTGTTTTTTTGGAGCTGGACTGAATAGGCACAAAGGAAGTTCATTCTTTCAGTCAGGTTTGGCACTTGGCTGTGTAAGTATGGTCTCTTCAGTTTGGGGAAATCTTGATTATCAAGTCCACATGTATCCCATCTTCAAATGAACAATCCCTTGACTTCACGTCTTTCACACTGTTGTATCAGATTGTCATTTCTTTCTTATTCCCTTCCTGTACTTTTTATTATTATTATTTAGGTGTGGTCCTCATTAAACTCTTACAGCTTAATTACGTTAACATCCAAAATTGAAAATAGTTCCTCAGTTTTTTCTTTAGTTCCAACCAATTGGTGTTTGTTATTGATATGAAGCAAAACTCCTGGTATCAAATTCTGTTGTCTATTTGAAGGAGGGAAGGGGGCATTTGTATTTCAGATGGCGCTGATCGAAAAATTAGTTCTTCCTTCATAGTGAAACAATTTATTATGGCATTGACTCTAGAGTATCATCTTTAAGGGAAATTGGTGGTGGATTGATTGGGATATCAGGGCTTTTAGGTATTAATTCAAAGGCTGAAACGTAGGGAACATGCTGGTTTTAATTTTTGAGTTTTTGGATTTTCTATTACTACAGGATTTGAATTTGGATTGATGGTGTTGACCCTTGGAATGTGATGCCTTAAATTGGTTAGCAAGCATGACCAATGTTCTAATTATGGACTTTTTATGTACTAATAAGTGATTCCATGATCTATTGTGGTAACATATTTAAAGTGATTCATTAACATTTTGCAGGTAACATTTTGTTGCATGGCTCAGCTGTCTTCCTTATTTTGCAGCCACTCTGAACACCAAGATTTGGCTTCTTCAAGGTTCCACCAACTTCTCTACCTGTATTTCGTTTCTTTAGCTTGAGATCGATGGCCACAAATGAGGTGCAACCTTAGCTCATTGTTCGTATCCATTGTCTATGGTGTCAATGTTACTTTCTGGCACACTCCTTGGTTTTTTGGCAGCAACTTGAATTATTATCAACTCGGTAAGTTTTACTGCTTACTGGGCCTATTAAGTGGATTGAATTTTTTGCATGACCTCCTCTGAGCTAGACCGCTACAAGTACAGATCAACAAGGCTGTGAAAATGAAAGGGAAATTCAAACTGTGAAATAATAACTCCTCTCATGCATGTATATTTGTCTTCCATCTCTGCAGGAGGGAGATTGTAACTACAACATGTTCTCATCCAGTCGTCAAAGGCAATTCTCTAAAACTTTGAAACTTCACGAAGAATTTAAACTTCTCTTCATAAGTTGAACTGATAATCTCATATTACAAAATGGTTACTGGACAATAATAAATTGGTTACTCTAAATAAATTTTAAAAAACCATCACTTATTGAGTTTTTTTTTTATTTTTAAATTGCATCGAAATAAAAGATCTTTTCACAATTGTAGTTGTGATTAGTAGAATTAATGAGCATGACAAATGTAATTATTATTTTCAGTACAATTCTTTATAAGCTTTTTTCAAAAAATTATATTTTAATGCACATTAAGAATTATGTGTGTAATTTTAAACACTAAAGACAAATTTTAGAATGCATTTACAATAAAGTAAAACATGAATGAAAATTCTTTTCTTTTTTTTATTTTTTATTTAACTAGTTTTACTGTGTTCAATCTTTAAAATTTTAAACATTTTAAGTAAAGTTGACATTTACGCTAAGAAAAATTGAAAGTTGAGTGATATCACTTGGCGCCATCAGTATACTATAGCTCCACCCCTGGTTTGACTATTATAACCAAATAAATTCAGAGTTTTAATTTTATCAATTTAAAATTTATTTTTTAATTTATTTTTTATCTAAATTATTCATCTATTTTTTAAAATAAAATATACGAAAAATATATTTTTTTGTCATTAAATTCAATGTACTTATAAGATTTTAAAATACAATTTTTGTTAGTTTAAAAACTAATATATATATATATATATATTTTTTTTTTCCCCCCATAGGTTTCACTACACAAAAATAGGCAACTAATTTAAATTGAAAATAAATTAAAAGTTTAGAGTTTAAATTGATAAAAAAAAATTGGGTGAATTAAATTGATAAAATTAAAGTTCAATATTAATTTTACTATAATGGTTAAACCCAAGAATTTTTATTTTTATTTTTTTGAAATTTGAAAAATTTGGTCAAAACCTCCTCGTAACATAACTTTCATTTTTCTTCAAAAGTCCAGCACACACTACCATTAGTGACTAATTTAATATTTTAAATTTTAAAATAATGTAACTTTTGATCTGGATGTCACTTTTTAATAAAATTAGTATTTTTAAAATCATCTCATTAGGTATCAAATAATATTCAAATTGACTATAAAATATTTTTGAGAACAATTTACCATCAAAATTGATGTAAATAATAAAATTTTAACTTTTACTGTCTAAATATGTGATCTAAATTAAAACTCCACTATCACTAACCATTAGAATCTATAGCTTTGCAAGGTAGAGTTATCAAAGAAAGGCATCCAATTTCCACCAAAATTCACAGGCACAACAAAATAAAAAAATTATTTATAACATAAGTAAAATAAAATTTTACTCTAGTTTATAGTAAAATTTACACTAATTTTTTGTAATAGATATGCAATCTAACAAAACACCGGAAGATACTAAAAATAAAATAAATATTCCATGAACTGGAGCAACTCAATACGGATTCCCCAAACATAACTAAAAAATCTAAAGTTTTTTGAATGATGGTTTTGCCCATTGGTTTGAACGCTGTCAATATGTAGATATGAAATCTATAAAGAACATGAAATTCAACCTCCAAGAAAATTGTAACGAATTTGTAAACATATCCAGAAAAATTCCTCCATAAAAACGATAAGAAGATCAAAACACAAGAAAATATATTTTCAAAAATGTTTATCCTGTGTGAAGGAGAGTCCTGTATTTGGAGAAGTTTACAAACTAATAAAAATAAAATATTCTGCCCTTTTCCCAAGATACAGTTTTTCAAAGATGAATTTTTGGCCAAATTACCCATTAAAATTCACACTAATGTTGAGAATAATTTTAGTGTGGAGTAATTCTCATGGCGGTTTTTCACTCTATCCCAAATAGACAAACATGTTAATTTGAAATCTTTCTAAAAAAAAGATGGAAAGTAAAATAATTCATTTCAAAATTTAAATTAAGAAATTTAGTCAAAATCTCTCTATTGGACCTTTATTTGGTGAAAAGGACAGTCATTGTCATTTTTCTTCATAAACTCCCTAAGAAGAAAACACATAATTGAATAAGGACAAAATAAAATATCTTTTTTCTTTTTCTTTTTTTTTCTCTCTCTTTCTTGGACAATATTGTAGTAACACATTACTATGAACCATAGTAATTAGGGGTGGGTGCGGGTCGGTTGCGACCACGAAACCTTCAATCCGTCATCCGTCCGCCAGATTGACGGATTGGAAAAAATCAATCTACATTCGTTCGCCAATCCAGCGGATGTGGATTGAGCGGTTTGGCGGTTTGGCGGATGGATGCGAATCGGTTTGGCGGTTTGGAATTTTATAAATTTTTAACATAGTTCAACTTGTGCACTTCCTCAAAAAAAAAAAAAAAAAGAGAAAATATTACAGCCAATGACTTAAAAAGTATTACAATTACTGCATGCCTCATCCAATGAAAGAAAGTTTGAAACTTTAGAATATCACAATCACTGCATTCCTCATTCACATATTACAATCACAGCATGCCTCATCCACATAAAATATTACAATCTGTGGTTCTTAAAATATAAAAACAATTCAAACCACCAAAACCATTAATAGAGCAATAGTAGAGATTATATGTCTCTATATTGTTACATTTATATATGTTTTTGAAAATAAAAACCAACAAACATATATCATATTTTCTATTTATTACTTTTAGAGTTAGATTTAAAAACCAAAAAATATAGATAAATAATACGTTTATTTTTTTCAATTCAAAAAATATATTCAAGTTGAAAACTTTTTTTCAACAGAATATTTGAACTCTTTTTCAATTGAAAACACAAACAAAATATTTAAACAAATTGAAAACACAAAGTTTTATAAATTACTAAGAGTGCTCGCGGTTTGGCGGTTCGGTTGCGGCCAAAGGAACCTTAAATCCGCCATCCGTCCGCCAAATTGGCGGATTGAAGAAAATCAATCCGCAACCGTCCACTCGTCATCACGCATCCGTCCAAAATGCGGCAGATCGGTTCGGTTCGGTTGGTTTTGGCGGATCGGTATATCCGCTGCTCACCCCTAATAGTAATATGTTACTGTCAAATAGAGTAATTGTCAAACAAAGTAACATGTTACTGTGAGATAGAGTAACATATTACTGTTACTGTTTACGTCAATTTCAACCGTAATAATTTAAAAAAAAAAAATTCATAGTGAAGAATCTTATTTGATAGATCTTGATGAGAAAATTTTAAAAATATTAATTTTATTAAAAATTGACATCTACATCAAAAGTTATATTATTTTAAAGTTTAATATTTTGATCATAATGATATTTGTTGAACTTTTCAAGGAAAAAATTATAATGATCTATCTCATGATTTATAAGTTTTAAATACAAATTTAAAATTATCAAAATTAGCTCAGAATTTTTGTATTAAGGAATAATAAGAGTGACGTTGAGATTATTTATATATTTATATATTTTACAAAAGAATATTTTAAAGAAAAGATATTATGAGAGCTTCAAAACCTCATACAAAATTTATATACTATTATAATTACAAAATGTTGTCATCTTATTGAAGCTAAAAGTTATAATTCTTTTTTTTATTTTGTTTAATTTTTGTTAATATAGATATGATTGGTCTATAAATGAATTTTATATTTTTAAAATAAAATTTTAAATTTAGATTTTTCCTTAAATTATGTTACCAGAATAAAATCAATATTCATTCCTTAATTTGAGCATCTTTTATTAAATTATAAAATAAAATTTTAAATTTAAATTATATTATTACAATTAGAATGAGATCTATATTCACATGTATCATAATGATGCGTCATAATATTATTGGTCTAAACATAATATGTTATTAAATACACATATTCAAATTATTAATCTCTATTAAAAGTTTATATTTTTATTTTTTGTCATTTTTAGTTTTAAATTTAAAAAAAAAAATTATATCCTTCTAAACTACAAGGATTTAAACAATAAATTTTTTTAATACAAATATTTTTTTTGAAAAAACGACAAAAATATTTAAAAAAATAATTTTTTTTTAACAATTGCCAAACATAATTGATTCTATTAATTTTTTTTAATCTCAATTAAACAAATGAAAATAAAAAAATAATTTTTTTTGGCTTAAATAATTAAGAAGTGACTTTTGCTAAAATCAAATAGAAATTAATTTTTTTTCCCTATTAAAAGCGATAGTTGGTGAAACTTATTTTTTTTATATAATAAAAAAGAAAATGAGAGTTACACGTGATAATTTATTGTTTCAACAATGCTACCGACCCACACTTTCACCCACAATGATGTGGCAAGGGAGTTGGGTCCCATGCCATTGAGTGTATGGCAAATCAAGAGTTAACACATATGATATCATATTATTGTGGGTACAATTGTGAGTATAAAATAAAATTTTAAATTTAAATTATATTATTACAATTAGAATGAGATCTATATTCACATGTATCATAATGATGCGTCATAATATTATTGGTCTAAACATAATATGTTATTAAATACACATATTCAAATTATTAATCTCTATTAAAAGTTTATATTTTTATTTTTTGTCATTTTTAGTTTTAAATTTTATAAAAAAAAAATTATATCCTTCTAAACTACAAGGATTTAAACAATAAATTTTTTTTATACAAATATTTTTTTTAAAAAAAAGACAAAAATATTAAAAAAATGATTTTTTTTTAACAATTGCCAAACATAATTGATTCTATTAATTTTTTTTAATCTCAATTAAACAAATGAAAATAAAAAAAATAAATTTTTTTGGCTTAAATAATTAAGAAGTGACTTTTGCTAAAATCAAATAGAAATTAATTTTTTTTCCCTATTAAAAGTGATAGTTGGTGAAACTTATTTTTTTTATATAATAAAAAAGAAAATGAGAGTTACACGTGATAATTTATTATTTCAACAATGCTAGAGACCCGCACTTTCACCCACAATGATGTGACAAGGGAGTTAGGCCCTATGTCATTAAGTGCATAGCAAATTAAGAGTTGACACATATGATGCCACATCATTATGGGTACAATTGTGGGTGCTTTTTTGCGTGTCTCAAACATTTTTCTTATTGTTCATCTCGACTTTTTTAACACTTGCGAAATATAGTAGATTTTGTTTTTTTTTTTTTTACTCTTAATTGTCAATTAAACAAACTAAAATGAAAAATGAAAAATTTTGGTTCAAATTGCTAAAAGTGACTTTTGTTAAAATAAATTGTAACGCCCCAAATTTCTAACCCAAATGATAATGCAACAATCATGGCTCTCTTAAAAGAAAACCAAATATAACTTTTCATACTCGCATTACATAATAATAATAGTTCCTCATGCGATATTACATTGATTCAACAACAAGTAAATAACCAAATAAGCACTCCCAAAGGTTTACAATCTTCTAAGACTTAAGCTCGGTACACAAAATGGTTATTCAAACCCACACATATATAGCCCTTGGCTTACAAATAGGATCACAGCAAATGAGAACTTTAGTGCTCTCAGCAAATGAGAACGTAGGAAATCCTTAACAAAGTATATACATTTTATACAAGTCTCAAGAGATGAATGCATATGCCATGCCATGCTTTTTTGAAAATAAAATACATTTTCATCTTTTGAAAACCATCATACTCAATGATGTTATGCAACTTCAATTGTTCAAAATTTATCAATTTAATTAAAGAGGACAGTAAATATAACTCTGGTAATCCCTAAGTCAGTGTCTGCAAGTAGACTATACGAGTACTACCAATTGTCATTTTTACCGGTATTAATCGAAAGGCTCGACACCTATCTACGCGACTTTCTGGTCTTTCACCGAAGACACTCAGGCCAACTTAAACAATTTCATCTATACTACCTATCAAGACTTACCACCGTATTTACTCCAAAACCATTTCATGAAAACACATTTCCCAACATTCTTTTCTCAATGCAAATTTCCAAAGCTTAACATAGTCCAATGAATTGAAATGCCAATGTATGCTTAATAATGTAATGCAACATTACTTCCATATTCAATTGTTCCACACAATATATCATTGTGATCAAAATTCCCAATCCTCTTTTTAACATAATTCCATAAGATGAATATATATATATATATACACTTTTATATCCAATTCATTCAAGAGAATAACGTAGTTCCCACATTTCAAGCAATCTCAACAATTTAGTCAATTCAAGACTAAATCAATATTTTGATAACAATTTCTAAAATAAACAACATTTCTCATTTTTTTTTCACGAAATTCATCATTTATATATAAATAAATAATTTTCAAAACATCCATTTATTTTGGTGCACAAAATAAATATGACAATATCTTCTAAGGATTTTTAACATCTTTCAAAGAAAAGACCTAATTTCTAAGTTTTCTCACCAAAACCATTCATCTCCAAGATATTTAGAAGAATCTCCTCAAAATCATCTTTCTGCAATCAATATGAAATATCAGATTCACGAACTAATATAACATGGTCCGCTCGAGCGTGGAATGCCCCGCTCGAGTGTCAAATACACTAACTCAGTACTTTTGCAGACAGGTCAAACTTCTAGAACCAAATATTCTCTGCTCGAGCGCATAAACGGCCGCTCGAGCGGACAATCAATTTCAAATGCATTTTGCATTTTTGTTTTGGGGGCGCTGTCCCTCAACCCTACCAGGGCGTTGCCCCAGGATCCACCAAGGGGTAACGCCCCTTGGACCTTCGCGAGCTAACCAGGCAGTTCGACCCCCGCCAGGGCACTGCCTTTGGACCCGTCAAGGGGCGCTGCCCCTTAGACCCCCGCGAGCTAACCTGACAGCTAGGGGTGTAATTTTGGCCCGCGGCCCGTGGGCGGCCCAAAGCCCGCTAGTGGCTCGAAGTGGGCCCGGCCCCGTAAGCCCAGGGGCCTCGCCCGAGGCCCACCCAAAGCCCGAATACCCTCTGGGCCTGGGCTTGCGCATGGGCCTACTTTTTTGGCCCGTGGACCGGCCCAGCCCGGCCCGTTTTTTATTTTTTTTTGCGGGAGCTCGCAAAGCCCGACATGGGCCCGGCTCGACCGGGCCAAAATTACACTCTTACTGGCAACTCAACCCCCGACCGGCCTAGTCGAAGTGGCAAATCATGAAAGAAGGATCGAAAACCGGGATCACTACATAAATAGATATAAATGATATTTTTCTAATAAAAGTAATGGTTTGTGAAATATCTTTTTTTATTTAAAAAAATGATAGTTATAGGTGACAATTTATTGGTCATTTAGAATTCTTTTCAGATCAAATGAGAATAATATTCTAAATTTTCTTCTCACCTTTTTTTTATCCAGATATTTTTATTTTGTAAGAAATTTAATTTTATTATATTTCAATATTTTATTATAATTTTTAAATTAAAAATATTTTTTGGAAAATCATATTTAAATTATTTTATGCCATTATAAAATGTAATTTTTTTTAATATCAATTCATCCGATGATCCCTTTTTAAAAAGTATATTTGTTTTTGTTCATTAACATTAAATTTTTAATTAATCTTATTTATTATTAAAAATTAAATTAGCAAATTTATATATACAATTTTGTTTCGATTGTTCAGGTTATCTGATTTCTCTGCCCAAGTCCATTCAAATTTATTCAAATTTTTGAATTTTACATATCTTTTCACTGAATTAAAAATTATGTTGCTTAATCTTTAAAAATTTACAAGCTTGACTCAAGTAGCTTGGGTTCAACTCACCTAAATTTGCAACTCTAACAAGGGAGTTAAAAGTTACATGATTAAATTTGTGACATAATAAAAATTGATACGTAAATTGCGAAACTTGAATTATAAATTTTGATATTTATTTTATTTTCATAATTTACAAAAATTTAACTATTTATTTTATTTTATTTTATTAATTCATTCACATCCTATGCATAGCACGGATTTTCACTAGGGTCTCTAGAATACAAAAACCACAAATACATTGGCTTGAGAGCATACATCTCTAACACACACCAAAAAACAAAAAAATTCATTTAAACATTTGCCAGTCTTCCTTACACCTAGACTTGAAATAGAAAACAAGGATTTCAAAAGATGTCAGAGACATGCACTTGTGCATATATATATAAAAACAACAGTGATCATATACATGAACAATCCAGGAAATTGTTTCTCATAAAGCAAAAATGAGTACTTGAGAAATTTTAATGTTTGCTACTATTGAATAGTGAGCTGTTGGCGTGGGGTTTGGAAATAGGAGACTGGAGACCCTTCACTGCTCTGGGAGTCTCCTCGCCACGCATCTTGAACTTGTGCAGCAAACTGCAGGTTCCACAGCACGTCCTCGATAGAAGGCCTAACTTCTGGATCCTTGAGCAGACATCTGATGCAGATTTCCATCATCGTCTTCAGTGATTCGTCTGAATATGCATTTTGGATTGCTGGATCAACAATGCCTCTTCGAGCTGCATCATCAGCTGCTATGATCCTCTGTAACTGCAGATTGTCAAAAGAAAAAAAAATTAGTGCATAAACAATTTATGGGGAAGGGGGAGTGACCGCATATGGATATTGTTAATGGCATTCTTTCATCTTATCTGTACACTATTGAAAATCTTATGTATGTTTGTGGTACATTAGTCATGTACATAGCACCAATCCTTTGCATTCGTTTTTTCCTCTCCACCGCTATAATGTATCTAGAATAGATTCATTTGGAGAAAAGAACTCATTTCACAATGGACTTAGCTGTATGGAAAGAGGATAAAATCATAAAATCAATTATCGTGTAGGTTTTAAGAGCACCCAAAAGACCAAAACGAATAAGAAAGCTTCTTCAATGTAAATCAACAGAAATTCTATATGCTAACCGGTTATGCATCTTTCATAAGCCAGATGCCTCGATTTAGTTTCTTGACAGTACACCTAGGTTTACATGAATAGTTCTAGCTTGGTAAACACACACACACATATATCTGCAAATATGTACCTACTTACACGTACAAGTGTATCTATTCATGTATAGTTATCACTATATAATAGTAACCTGCTTTCACCACAATAGTAACCTGCTGTATAATTGTAATTAACAGACTTGGCCTCACAAGACAGCAAGAGGTTCGAAGGAAAGCTGTGTTGCAAATTATGCTGAAAAGGGATCTGTTTCCAATATTATACTTGAATGGTGACAAGAGTGATAAATTTTATGTTTTCAACATGATGGAAGGACCAGAACAACTTCTTTGGATTGCATAATAATATAGACTATGAAATGGGAAAAAAGAACGGAGTATAGGCAGCACATCAAGATCATAAAAGCTAGTGGTACTCCTTGGTATAGTGATTGGTGGAGAAGATGGATAGGTGAGGTATTATATTGGATGATTGAGGAATATGAGGGGACATAATGAATGATGATTGGTGAGGGACTACGGTCACATGGTACTTTGGGACTACTGTATAATTTTCTGTAAATAAATGTATTTATTCAACTATAAGTGCAAGAGAGAAAAACAAGAAAGCATATTTCATGCCAAAAAAATAAAATAAAAGAACTAAATAACTATTGACAAGCATTTCATTCATGGGTTCAGACACTGGAATCAGTGACTATTCTCTGTTTCTCCAAATGAAGGCATCTAAGTGCCGTGTAGTAGTTCATAATTTCCGGACTCTTTCAAAAAAATAATATGGAAAACGGACTCAAAATAAAGAACACCAATCTTACTTCATCTCTCACGATATCCACTTCAATCCTTGAATTGAGCGGCCTTCCCAGAATGATTTCAAGCAATATTACTCCGAAGTCATAAACATCAGACTTTTCCTCGTGTTTTACCCTGTGGAGAAACAGAGTTAAGGTAGAGCAGCTATCGGAAAACAGCACACATGTCCACTACGCTAAGAAAATATCATACATTCCCATGTTCTGACCTCAGAAACAGAAATGATAATAACTTTAAAATGGAAGTTCGAAGGACAGGTGTGTAAGATAAGAAACAAAAGAGCTGTAAAACCATCTTCTCGAGGGAGTAAAAATCTGTTTGGGTAAAGAAACAAGTCGAACACTTCAGTCAAAATTTTCATCATAGTAAAGGTGCGTGTATTTTTTTCATAAACATGAGATTACTTCCAATGTTATGTTCCATGGACTTGGGTACGGGTCTCATGTGGGTACATGTCTAAGTGTCAAATCAATTTCATCTAATTCTCATGTCAAGCACAGTAAGATATGACTATGGGTTGTTTTGGGAAGATAGTAAAAAGTGACTTTTTTGCTTTTAACCAAGCTTTTTGGGAGTGATTTGGGAAGTTGGTAAAAGGTTACTTTTTTTTTTGAATTAATATTTATTTATGGTGTCACATCACACCAAAATGACTAAAATAACCTCACCAAACTTAAAAAAATTACATTTGACCCAAATCCATAAGATGTTAATATTGAGGGTAATTATGTAATTTCCTAACCTACTTTTTCTACTTGCCAAATGAGCCGAAAAACGCAACTGTGCGTTTTGCTCCAAAACGCCAACCTAGCGTTTTCAGCCTTTCCCAAAAGAGCCCTATATTTCATATTTCTGAAATATTTCTTTTATTTTTTAAGGATAAAATAATGTTTACAAACTAAAATACAACAATGTTTTTATGTATAAAATGGATGATTTAGGCATAGTTATATGGCGAACTCGACTACTATACTTGTTGGGTGCATCTTTACTAGGCATATCGAACACATTATCTTATACCCTTATCCAAGTGTCAAGAGTCCGACACCAGTACTCCACAAATTTAGAGGAATCCATGTAGCATAGCTTCCGTGCCTATCAAAGTATCTTCCAAACAATTTTGACTAATAACTCTGCATCAGATACTATCAATCTTTACATGGCTTAAGGCCTTTAAGTAAAGAATATTTTAATGCACTTTACACAACACAACTTGAATTTAGCAAAATCACGTTCTGAACCTCGCAGTATTAAGCTCTTTGGATCTACCCGAAGAATTTTGAGTACCAACCTGTGACATCAAGAAGATTCAAATATCAATTGATACTATTTCCTTCAAGAGTAAGAGCCAATACTGAATATTAAAGAAAGGTTTCTCACTCCTCTCCATACCTTCTCCATATTCTCTGATAATAATGGTAGGTTGTAACTGCTAATTTTTGCAACAAGATTCTGATCTAATAAAACATCTGTTATTTTCAAACTATTTGAAAACACGCCAGGAACAATTCCAGTATGTAGAAATTCGATGCCCTTTGCCACCCCAATAGCAGCTGCTATGCGTTGTGTCCAAGTAAGTGTTCGTCTGGCACGTCTCTCTGCCAAGCAATTTTGTTAGACATTGAAAGCCACCAATCACATAAAGTAACAAAAAAATAAAGATGAAAGAAAGGGTTAACTTCTTTTTTATCTTATTTATTTATTGTGTTTGTCTGTAAAATGCTATGCATAAAAGGTAGTTTCAGAGGGTGCAAAAATTCTAAGATTGTGTGTAAGATTGGGGGAGAAAGACAAGCTCCTAAACCCTCTTTCTTGGCACAGTGATTGAGATCCATACTTCATGATTAGGTTAGCCATGTTAATTGGATTACCGGATATCCAACTCCTCAGAGTTCCGTTTGGAACATATTCAAAGATGAGAAATAATCTGATGACACTTGAATCGTCCAAGTTACACTCAAAGCAATGCCCAAGAGCGCTGACCAAATGTCGATGTCTGAGTTTTGAGATAAACTCTATGTGATGCATATAGTTTTGAGTGCCATGGCTTCTTTTCATTTTCAGGCATCTGATAGCAACAACAGAACCGTCCTTCAGTTGACCTCTGTACATCTGAATTCATAAACAAGTAAGCCATCAAACCTTGTCACAGCAAAAACTAAATAAATAAATAAATAAAATTTTAAAATAAACAGATATTAATTAGCTACTTTGACCACTGGATGAAGAAAAAATTAAATGAATACCTTAAAAAAGATTTTTAAAAAAATGTAAATTAGCTATTCATCAGCTCAAACTCAAACAATCAGATAAAGCAACTCGTTTGGGAATCAAGGGTCAGGATGTGTCTGTAGCATTGTCACAAGTGGTACTGAGTAACATTTGCTCATTTGGGATAGTTCAGGAAAATTTCTTTCAGTGTGCACAAGAAAAATTGATTTTAACTGCAAAAATTTGAAAAGAATTCATTAACATGCCATTATCATCTCCCCCTTCAGATACATCTAGAAATGAATTGGCATACCTGGCCATGTGAACCTTCAGCCAAGAAAGTTGATGTATCAAAGTTATCTGTTGCCGCCTCAAGTTCTTCCAATGAAAATGTTCTATAACTTGGAACGCCAAGTGCTCCTATCTTCATTGCTTGAGATACATACCCTTCACAAGGAAAAAAGTTCATACTGTTACATATTATGTACTCAATTAGCAATAACAACCACCCTTTGTATTCAAGTGAAAGTTTCGAGATCAATGAAATACATTTTCTTTTATTGTTTTGAAAATATTTCCTATTCGTGTAACCTACATAACTCAACTTGATCAAACTGTGTTTGCCAACCAAGGTTTTAAAAAGCAGCTGCAATCGTTATTTGAAGCTTTTACGTAACGGTTCTGATTGTTACCACCACCCGTTACGGCCACTATTACAGTGTGACAGAAATTCACATGTGTAATGGCCGTTTCGGTGTTACATAAGGGTCCGTTAAACACCGTTACACTATTTTACAATATTCTGAATAACTTCTTTTTTTCAAAAAAAAAAAAAAAACCACAAAAAAAGAACAAATACTTAAGTGATCTAGCTCAAAAAAAAAAAATCTTATATGAATTTTTTTTCTTTATAATTTTTTTTTTAATTTATAGGACAATTTTTATTTTATAATATTTTCATTTAATAATTGTAAATATTTTTTATTTAGGTACTTTAGGTATTGATAAAAAATAATTTGTAGATATTTAAAATCAATTATTCTTAAAACCATTAACTATGGAAATAAAATGTAAAAAACTCATTTTATAGTAATTTAAAAATATGAAATATATTGGATCATATTTAAAAATTAACAAAGATTAATCAAAATTTATTTTAAATCCAAATAAATGTGATTCTGAAAAAAAAAATATATATAGTATCGGTAAGTTTTCTTCAAATTGTGCAAAAAAAAAAAAAAAAATCACAGCTCCAGTTATCGCAACTGTTATAGCAACCGCAACCGCTTTTCAAAACCTTGTTGCCAACCCTACAAAAAAAGAACAAATACTCAAGTAATTCAAGCTCAAAGAAAAAATCTTGTATGAATTTTTTTTCTTTATAATTTTTTTTTTTAATTTATAGCACAATTTTTATTTTATAATATTTTCATTTAATAATTGTAAATATTTTTTATTTAGGTACTTTAGGTATTGATAAAAAATAATTTGTAGATATTTAAAATCAATTATTCTTAAAACCATTAACTATGGAAATAAAATGTAAAAAACTCATTTTATAGTAATTTAAAAATATGAAATATATTGGATCATATTTAAAAATTAACAAAGATTAATCAAAATTTATTTTAAATCCCAATAAATGTGATTCTAAAAAAATATATATATATATAGTATCGGTAAGTTTTCTTCAAATTGTGCGAAAAATAAAAAAAAAATCACAGCTTCAGTTGTCGCAACTGTTATAGCAACCACAACCGCTTTTCAAAACCTTGTTGCCAACTATTGTTGGTTGGCTACAACATTCCCTTTATGGTATTGGACAACTCTATCTACGGCCATGTCATTCATTAAAGCACACACCTGTTTTCGCTTCAAATAATTGAATAACTTTAAGCTTAAAGGAAAGAATGGCTTTTAAGGAAAAACGAGAAGCTAAATAAACATCCAAATTTTCAAATTGGTGGCCAGGGATCTGTAAAGTCAATTATCTGGGCTATAGTTTTGAGTCTCAAAGAAGAAGTGTTAAACCACCAACATAGGAATGCTTTCAATCTATACTTAATTATATTTAATACATGACTTTCTTTTCCTGGAAGATAAATTAAACATCTTCCATTTTGCTTGCACAGTTCGTTGAGTTTTCTTAATATCAAAGGTCACATACACACTCACACATACTCAATTCAATGGAATTGTTTGATCTTAAATGAGATCTATAATTTCACAAGAAGGGGTTATTTCTTGGTTTATATGTTTAGATAATAATAGATATAAAAAAATACTAGTGAGGCCCGCGCGCTCGCACACACACAGGAGAAACCTTACTTGCTTCTGACGATAACTTTGAGGTGTACCCAGTTGATGCATGCACTGCTATTAATCTTGGTTGTGGTTTTCCCTTTGTCTTCTTCAAGTGAACCCTTCTAACAATTACGAAAGCTAGACCAACTAGTGTGATTCCTCCAATAATCCCTCCACTGATGCTCAAGCCAAGAACTACTTTGGAAGCTCGTTCACTCTTCCGGCGATGAGGTAAGATTCCCACAGCTAGAGCTTCATTTCGACAAAATGAAAATCCGTGTTGAGTTTTATCTCCTGTAGTCAAACAATTTCCAGCATAGAGCACAACTCTGTCCTTGGAACTAGACTCGAAACAATTGGGCAACTTTCCAATCAGGAGATTCGAGGACAAATCCACAAATTCAAGTTCAGAATTGCATGACAGATTGTCAAAAAGCATTCCAGTGAATCTGTTTCCGGCGATACTCAGATAAGTAATTGATGGTAGTGATAACAACGATGGTGGAAATGGACCAACAAATCTGTTGAAAGAAATATCGAGCTTTTGAAGCTGATAGTAGGTACTCACTTCATCAGGGATGCCAGAGCTGAACTTGTTCTTCCTTAGTATAAGGGTAACTAGTTTGTTACCAAGATGAGGAAATTGAGGCCCGAGAGAATTATCTTCCAAGTCGAGAACTTGAAGGCTGGTCAAACTGCCAAGATCAGGCACTTCACCGAAAAAATTGTTATGTGAAAGTGCAAGAACTCTCAGAGTTTCCAAGCTTCCTAATGATTCTGGCAGAGATCCATTCAATGAATTGGTCTTCAAACTCAAAACAGCCAAAAGTGAAAGTGAACTCAGCCAATCTGGAAGTTGACCACTGAACATGTTGTCATCGAGTATGAGCGTTTGAAGGTTAGTCAAGATTGACATTTCTTGTGGAATGTTGCTGTATAAGAAATTGGAACTTATGTTGAGTATTTCCAATGATGATAGCCTCGAAATTTTACCAGGCAATGGCCCCCATAGACCGAGAGAAACCAATGTGAGGACTTTCAAGCTTGGAATCCTAACAAGTGTCGTAAAAAAGGAATCTATGGAGAAATTCCGAGGCAATGGAGGAACGCCCTTGTTCCCAATAATATGCAGCTGTGTTATGCTTTCGTCATAGCACACAACAGTTAGCGATGGACTTGGTTCGGTGTTGCAGAAATCTGTTTCGTTATTCCAACTACTTAGAACAGATGGAAAATTCAGAAGGTGTTGAATTCTCAAAAGGGTCTGCACTTGAGATGATTGTAGTTGCTCCGAGTAACTGATTGAAAGTGATATGATGACTAGAACTAGAAATGATGAATGGCTAAAACCTTTCGCCATTAGCACAATGGCAAGATGCATAACGAACTAAATTACTTGAAAGATTGATTTGATTGTGTATTATCAGTCAAACAAGTAGGCTGTTATCTTTCAGAAAGCATGGAGATTCTTGACTACTGGACCTCAGCTTCCAACGATGCAATTAAGCTCTAGATCCACAAGAAATGCAAAAGGAATTAAAATAGACACTGAAAGATAGTGCTAGACTCAAACCCACATCACAAATCTAAGCCACTGAAGCTTGGTTAATATATTGTAAGGGCCTCTCCACTCATTGCCAATTGGTTTTGAGTTAGATGCTTTAACAGATAGATTAAACAAATAAAAGTTTAAAAAAAAAAAATCATGACTTAATGGTGAATGGGAGTAGAAGAAAAGAAAAAGTTACCAGACTTCAGCATTTTGCTTTGTGTTCTTTGTTTTTTTTTTCTTTTTTGGTTCATTGGAGGGGTACATTAAATGAGTTCATGCCAACGAGCTAACCCCAATGGTTGCTAGCCTTCAGTTTTTTTAACAATGTCTAAAGATCTACCATCTTCTCCTTCTTCTTCCTAAAAAAAAAAAAAAAAAAACACCATCAATTTCCTACTATGGTTCAATAAGAATAAGAACGCTGAGCTTTGAACATTTGCTATGCAGCTCTATTCAATCCATCATTCAATACACGAACAAGAGAAGAGAAAAAAACCATTTATTTCCATAGGAGTAGCTTGGTGCAGTTCTTTTATGTGCACAAAATCCGATTACAGAGTGAAACACAACCATCTTACATGGGGTGTTTCAATTTGCACATGTTATGTTAACTAATGAATATTGCACTTATTTACGATGCAATCAACACATTGATATCTTGCTTTCAATTATCTGGTGATCATATATGGAACATAACAATAATGATAACTAAAATTTAATTAATTACAAAAATTTGAAAGATTATATCAAGTTAACAGAAGCCTTACCTCTCTAGATCATAAACAAAAACAGAGTCTGAATTTGGAATTTTTAATTCTTTGAAGTACAAGTTTGAGATTGGAGGAACCAATTGAACTCAAAAGCTTTGGCAGGTACAGATGAACCAAATCAAACCCCCAAATAAACACCAAAATAATCTACCAACTATGTATAAAACAAATGCAACTTTCAAATGAAGTAACATGTAATAATTAAAAGGACTGTAGAACTTTGAAACAAAACAAACCTTGTGAAATGACCCAACCCATTTCAAATTAAGCACTTTCAGCTATATATCCTTAATAATAATACCCAAAAAAGAAAAAAAAAAGAAAAAGGAAGAAGAAGAAGAAAAACAGAGCTTACCAGTTATATGAGTACTTCAGAGCAACAAATTCATGCCCTCAGAAAGAGAAAAGGAACAAGCCCCTAAATCAAACCGTGTTGAAGTAGAGGACATTTGAAAAGAGTCACAGTTACAAATGCACAGACAAATACAATTTAGTGACACGGGTTCAAGAAACAGAGAGACCCTGCCAAAACTCTGTGCTCTCCTGAAGTTTTTACTGATTCCACAAACAGACACAATCTCCCTTCTCTCTCTTTCTTTGTTTCTCTCTCTTTCTAGACTTGATGTTTGGAAATTATATCTGGGGTCTTAAGAAGCTATAACGGAAGCCATTGTTGGATGATGCATAACAAAGAAAAGCAAAAGTGAAAGAAAGATTCTTGCAGAAGAAAACCCTTTATTCTCTCTGCTAACATTTGTATCTTTTTTCTTCTTTGTAGGCATTGAGTTTGAGTGAGTGTTTTAAAGAGTTTAAAAAGCTGCAGATTTGGAAGTGTTTCTTTAATGGCTCCTACTACTTATAATTGGCTCCTACTATTGCTGCTATAGTAGACTACACACTTGTTTGGCTTTCTGTCATGTTAATCAGTGCTATTTTCATTGAGTGCTCAAAATATCTATAATTTTTTTGGACGAATTATAAATACCTTTTTTGAGATTTAGTTAAATTATAAATTCTTTTTTAAAGTTTCGAAAATTATATTTCACTCGTTGAAATTTATATTTTCATAATAATTTGTCCCTTGAGATTTATATTTCATAACAAATTACCTCCTAATTTATTATGCAAATATAACATTCAGGGAGAGAATTTATAATTTCTCAAATTTTAGGAGGGTATCTGTAATTTAACTAAACTTTGAGGGATATATGTAATTTGCCCTAATTTTTTTATATATTTTTTAACATTAAAGTATGTGAGAATTACAGATTGGACCGACAAAATAAACATATATAAAAATATAAAATGGTATTTTGAAAAGTTGATAAAAAATTAATTTTTTGACTTTCTTAATCTATTTTATCTTTTTATAGATAAAAAATATGAGAAATGATGTGATACAAAATGAATAAAAAGTTAAAAATTGACTTTTTTTTTTTTTTTTTACTTTCCAAAAGAATCTAGAGTGTAAGGCTTATTTTGGCAACCAACATTGATTCATCCCTCCTTTTCCCCTCACCCCCTTTGACCCTCTCTCTCTCTCTCATTGGTTACATTTTTTTTTTCTTTTTCTTTTTTTTTCTGCTCCTCCAATCACCACCCGCCACGTGGCAAAGGGGGGTGAGGGGGTGACCCCCAAAAGGGGGTCCCAAGCATTATTCTTTGGCAACATAGTTTTTAGTCACTTTTTTTAGTTAGTAGCAAAAGCCAAAAGTTGGCTTTTTTGGCTTTTTTTTTATTTGGGAAGTTGGTTTTTAACCAACGGTGAAATTACAATTTTATCCCTCATGGGTCAAAATGTGTTACATAGGTGAAGTTGTAAATATTTTAAATAAATGGGGGTAATTTAGTCATTTTATTATGATTTGACATCATAAACAAATATTAATCAAAAAAGTCAAAAGTCACTTTTTACCAACTTTTCAAATCATTTGTCTAAAAAAGTCAAAAGCTTGATTAAAAGTTAAAAAAATCACTTTTTACCATCTTTTCAAAATAGGCCTAAGGAAAATATTGTAAAGATGTAAGTGTGACTTATATCTGTACATATTTTTTTTTTGATAAAAAAAATTCTGTCTTACTGAAATATAATTTTTCCTTAAGTATTTTATTTCAATTGTTGTCGTACTCTGTTATGGGAAAAGGCCACGGTTCTGTTGCCCTTGTTTGGTTTGCATTGGAGTAGGGATGTCCTTTTATATATATATATATATATATTAATAATAATTTAGAAATTTTGTTAAATAATAATTTAATTTGAATTAATAAAATGGGAATTTGTCAGAGAGTGTGTGGGGGTGGGGTGTGGGCTTTCGCTTTCTGGTTCAAGCCAGGTTCAGTTTTCGTTTGGGGTTTGTGTTTGTGACCTCTGAGCTGTCTTCCTTCTTCATTGCCAGTCAGTTGCTTTTGTCCTCTCTCTCTCTCTCTCTCTCACAGAGTTTGATTTGATGAGTTTGAAAAATTATAAGAGAATGATGTAACCTCTATTTATTTTTTATTTATTTTTATTATTTTTTTTTGAACGTGATAAAATTCATTAAGAAGAAACCAAACGACACTTACAAATAGATTCCATAACACAACAGATAGAGTTTACACTAATCAAAGGAAAAATGAGACAATAAACACATAGGTAAAGTTAAAATAGCATCAAAGACATGATCAAACATGATCCTAACCCGTACTGTAACGCAGAGGCGATCATAAGAGATCAACACTAGGGCTAGTCAGAGATACCACAAAAGCATACACCCCAGAGAGGGTAAGCTACCAATGAATACAGTCATAGAGTCCAAGTAACGCAAACAAACTGAAAAAACAAACTGATTGAAAAATTAAAAGAAAATAAAGTTCAAACAAACGAAACCGAAGCCGTCGATCTAGAGGGAGGAAGCTATCAGATCTGGTGGAGGATGGCTGCGGCGTGGAGACGGTGGCTTCAAACGGCGAGAGAAGGTGAAGAGTGGTATAGATCTGGAGGAGGGAGGGAGTTAGCAAATCTGGTGGAGGAACAGTAGCGAGAAATGGCGAAGGTTGTAGAATCGGCGGCGAGAAACGGCAGATCGTGCTTCGGCATAAAGGGGGAGGAGGAGGAAACTCAAAAAACCACCCGAAGGGGAAGAAACACCTAAAAAAGAGGGAGAGATTGGGAAGACAAAGCTCCCAAAGATTATTTTGCAGAAAATAGAAGAGAAAAAAGGGAGGAGAGAGGAGGGAGGTGGCCTGAATCCCCCTCCCCCTCTCAAGCGGCACACTCTGAAAAAACCCTAAGAGAGAAAATTTAGAGAGAGAAAAGTCTCAATTTGGATCAATTGTCCAAAAAAATGATGTAACTGATGATAGGAAAATATAAAGGCCTAATCATATAGAGCCAACACTTATTTAAAAGTTAATTTTTTAAATTTTTTTTTATAAAAAAAAATAAAGCAATAATGTAACTCAGAATAAGTTAAAATTCAAAAATTAACTTTTAATTAAGTTCTCAAATTAGGCCAAAGAATTGAGATTTTAGAGATTATTTTTACGTGGTTGATATATATAATAAGATTATTTAATCATATAGCGATATGTTATAGATTCGTATACATATGAGAATTTGAATCTAAATTTTTAATATTGGGTATGGTTCATCTAGGTTTAGAAGATTTGTTCTACCAATTTTATGTACTGTTGCCTAAGTGACTAATCTCAAAAAAAGTAAAATTTGAAATTTCAAGACTTATATCTCAAAATCTTAACAAAGTGTCACACCCCTTGCAGTTCATCATAGGAAAATATAGAAAATCACTAAAGAGTTGTGTTTCTTTATCTCAAAAGTTTTTTTTTAAAAAAAAAAAATAAAAATATGACAACTTATTAAAATATTTAAAATAATTGTCTCTTTATATTTTTTTTTCATTATCAAGTAATCAATCAAATAAGTGGGTCCTAGAACTTATTTTTTATGTCCCACTATTAGGTAATTATCCCATAAATATACAGGAAATGCTACAATGTATACTATAAGAAAAATTACAATTTTTGTGATAAAAATTATGATTTTTTGTTATGAAAAATATAATTTTTGTGATAAAAGTTATGAATATATATAATCAAAGTTATATTTTTTTGCGATAAAAATTATATTTTTTTGTAAAAAAAAGTATACATTTTATAATTAAAACTATACTTTTGTATAAAAAGGTGCATATAGTAGCGTTTCTTAAAAATATATATACTAGTGATTAGTATAAGTGATGTGTGTATGGCATTCAAGTAGTCAGAGTCCTCTTTAGCAAACAAAAATTTTGATGTTTGAATCTCACAACGCTCCTTTATCTTCTCTCATCTTCTTCTTCTTCTTCTTCTTTTTTTTTTCCTTTTTTTGTTGGTTTATTATTATTTTTTTTTGAGTAGACAAATGGACAATTAATGTAAGGAGAGAGAAGCATTAAGGCACCACTAGAGGTGTTCATTTTGTAATAGCAAAATTGAGTCGATTGAAATTACAATAACTAAAATGACACAGAGACTAAAATACAAGTACGGATGTAATTTGTCCTACTTTTAAGCCTACGTTTGGGAAGTGGGTTGGCTTTTTGGCTTTTTGGCTTTTTTGACTTTTTTTGTGAGAGAAGAATGTAATGATTATGGGTTGGATGTGATGTTTTGTTTGTTATGGCTAAAATAGCCTATTTTGTTTTTTGTGGCTAAAATAGCCAAAAAAGCCTGAAAACCATCTTGCCAAACAGAGGCAATGTATACTATAAGAAAAATTACAATTTTTATGATAAAAGTTATGAATATATATAATCAAAGTTAAGTTATATTTTTTTGAGATAAAAATTATATTTTTTTGTTAAAAAAAGTATACATTTTATAATTAAAACTATACTTTTGTATAAAAAGATGCATATAGTAGCGTTTCTTAAAAATATATATACTAGTGATTAGTATAAGTGATGCGTGTATGGCATTCAAGTAGTCAGAGTCCTCTTTAGCAAACAAAAATTTTGATGTTTGAATCTCACAACGCTCCTTTATCTTCTCTCATCTTCTTCTTCTTTTTTTTTTTTTTTTTTTCCTTTTTTTGTTGGTTTATTATTATTATTTTTTGAGTAGACAAATGGACAATTAATGTAAGGAGAGAGAAGCATTAAGGCACCACCAGAGGTGTTCATTTTGTAATAGTACTAGCAACTGAGACAAGTAATGTATGTATAATTCAAATAAGTTAAAAAAAAATTTACATTTTGTGTGCAACTCAAATGGTAAGTGTATTCTTATCAAATCTAACCTTAGGTTTGAGTCTTACCCTCTTCTCTAATTATTTTTTTATTTTTAAATGGAGAAATCCACTTGCCATATACAGAAATCAAAGTTTCAGGACTCCAACATAGGCCTTCACTTTATATATAGCAAGTATAGAGGATAAATAGATATTAAATTACATGACATTTAATTTTAATTGAGTAAAATTACATTAATTATTGGGCACTCGGTCCATAAATTTGAATTTTATTTGGTCAAAATCCACCCTCTAAAATACTTTTTCCATGAGGACATGCTTAAGCGAAATGACTAAAATATCCATATACATATATAGTTGTTTTGAGAAATTGGTTAAAAGCTAACTTTTTAACTTTTTTTAAAAAAAAAAAATGTAAAAAAAAAAAAAAAAATCACCCAAAATAGATTAAAAATTGATTTTTAACGCAGTTTCCAAATTCCCAAACCAAACCTTAAACAAACCGTCTCTCTCTTTCTCTCTCTCTCTCTATAATCATCAATTAAAAAAGCACTTCGCATTGCCATAGAGTCAAGTCACCGGAGGTTTTGTGGTCACATTTCAAAGGGGTTTTTGACTCACCACTGTCTATAGCCGAAGGAGGAACCGAGGAAG